AGGGGCTCGATTTGGCTCCATGTAGTTGTCTTTCTTGTTCGAATACATGTTGGAATTATTTCTTGCTTTGAGCAACTGTTTTGGTGGCTCGGTTTGGCTCTCTGTTGTTGTCTTTCTTGTTCGAATACATATTGGAATTATTTCTTGCTTTGAGCAGTTGTTTTGGTGGCTAGGTTTTGCTCCCATTGCTACTCCTGTTCGAATACATGTTGGAATCTGTTTTGTGTTTTGAGCAGTTGATTTTGGGGCTTGGTTTTACTTCCTGTTATTCCACCTATTCGAATATATGTTGGAGCTCGTTTTAATGCTTTAAGAAGTTGGCTTTGTGGTTCGATTTTGCTCCTTAAGCATGCTGCCCCTGTTCGAATATATGCTGGAATCTGTCTGGTGTCTTGAGCAGTCAGTTTTGGGGCTTGGTTTTATTCCCTATTGCTGCCCCTCTATTCGAATCATATGTTGGATGAAATGTTGTCTTTTTTGAGCTTTTGAAAAAGGCTTATTTCAAGGGAGTTTATTTTTGTTTCTTGTTGCTTCCTCTGTTCGAAACACCTGCAGATTGTAAGGTTTGACTTTTGAAGCTTTTGGAGCTTGTTTTTGGGCCCTTTCTTGCTTCTCCTGGCTGTGACCTCTCCTGCTGGTTCCTAGTGTGGGTGTGGGGTTGGTGTTCTCTCCTGGTGGCTCCTGACCATGAGCCTCCCTATCGCGTTCTCTTGTTTGTGTTGGATGTTAGCTGGTGGCTTCCCCCTTTGGTTGCCCCTACCCGTGAGCTTGTGGTTGTTGGTTTGGTTTTGGTGGCTCCTTTTGCTGCTCCTACCCGAGAGCCCTTGTTTGTGTTTGTAGGTTCCTTTGTGCACCTGTTTGGTGGTCCCCCTTGCTGCTTCTACCCGAGAGCCCTTGTTTAAGTTTGTTGGTTCCTTTGTGCACCTGTTTGGTGGTCCCCCTTGTTGCTTCTACTCGAAAGCACCTAGTTGTGATTTCCCTTTTGTTGGGCTCGGTTTGCCCTCTTGGATGTCCCTGGCCGTGAGCACTTGTTGGGTTTCTTGTGTAGTGTTGGGTTTGTATGGCATTGGAAGCTTTTGGTTCGAGGTGGAATTGAATGTTTTAACGAATTGTGAAATGGACCATTTCCATTCTTGTTATTTGGGGTAATTCAAATGCACCTTTTCGAAGAATGATTTGTTAAATGTTTGGAGATGTTTCAGGACCCAATTCTGCGGGCTGAATTGATCGCAACAAAAAAAAGACAGAAAAGAAAATCTCTGGATAATTGAGAAAGGTTTGGGAATAGCTTGGAGGTCTCTAAATTGTGCATTTCAGGGTTGCTCCTGGCTAGCATCGGGGAGTGTGCCAATCTCATTGCTTATTTGAGAAGTCCCATCGGGTGGGTGTTTTAGGCTAACCCTCCTACCGTTTTGGCTTTTTTTCCTAAATTGATTTTGGAGGTGGGTTAGCCTTCTTTCTTTTTCATTTCTTGTTTTTGATTTAATTTCCTTGCTTTTTGGTTTGGGTTTTAGATGTTTATGTCTGATACATAAATGTGTGAATATAGCTCTGGCTATATATGAAACCATCAAGCAACGTCGTAAGTCGGACGGTCATTTTTTGGGTATTATGCCTTGATAATAAAGGGTTTCGTTGGTAGAGCGGAATAATATGTCATCCTACGACATCGGGACTCAATCCAGGGACTAGATGAAATGTAGGATGACAATATTATTCACCGACATCAGGCTAGCAGGACACCCTTGCCTTCTTAGGTTGTTGGTAGTTCCAACCCGACGGTTCGATAGACTTGTGGTTAATCATAATTTCATAAAAAAAAGATACGATAAGAAAAGATACGTTATTTTCTAAAGTATTTTAACTATCAAAATTGACACTACTTTTCTTGTATGCATGAAGCCTATATGCATGTCAAAATATAAATTTTAAATAACATAATTCAATTGTCCACTTGTCAATCGCCGATATTAGGCTAATGAGCACCCTCTTAAGTTGGTATAGTAGGACACATTTCTAGTTGAATGTCGAGCTCTATACATACGGGTGACCGATAGTTAACTTTACAGTCCCTCGAGAATACCTAAATCTGAGTCTAGCCCGACCCGAGTGCTTACGGCTTTTCTTTCTTTCTTCGGATTTGTGTATGTTTTCTGACAGTTTTATCAAAGTCTTTGTAAAGCACTCACGATTTTTTTCGAATTTTCCTCGTGTTTTCGACATTTTTTTCTCAAATTACTGTGGGTCATCTTCCGCTTTTTCTCCAGTCTTTTCGGGAGTCGTCGACCCGTCAAATGTACAGGTTTGTTTTACGTTTACAGCATTTTTTTTTGTCATTGCACACTTTACTGCATATACATATAGTTCATGTCTGCAATATTGTTGTTTACTGTTTACTGCGTTTTGTAGCATGTTCCTTTTTATAACTCATGTTGTTTCTACAGACTTGCAGGGGAGTTTGAGGTTAGAGGCCAGTAGGACACCTGGGTTTAGGAGAACCCGTAGTGAGCCATTGACCCAATAACTGTACATTTATACACAACCCTGAACTTATAATCCATCTGCTAAGGAGCTTAGAGTAGTTTTTCTAGGAAGCAGATCGTGGAAGCAAGCGGACGGAAGGCGACGATCGAGGCCACGACGAAGAGGTGTAGGATGTCTCTTTAGAGTTAAGGTTGAATCATAGAATAATTGAGAAGTCACCGAGGTTTTCTCTGGATCTATGACATCCCCTACCTTTCACTCTGTTGACTCCTGAAAATAACTGTTCATATTTTGAGTCTTTCCCCCTTTGATTTCCTCATATTTCATCCTTGGAAACCTAAACCTTGCAATCTTGAAGGAAAAATCACTTATCTTAATCGAGAGTTTTTTTAAGTAATTTCGATCATTTAAGATATAATTAACTATAGAGATTTATTTCTATAGAGAACTTAAGAACCCAGCTTAAAATAAACCCTATTTAATTTCTCGTATTAAATATGGGAACTTATCAGTTTATAAAAAGACTTTGCAGACCAAACGGATGTCACAAATCCTTTAGTTTATGTGGCCAAGTCTGCCAAAAAGTTGTATGCATATCCTTCGGGATAGTGTACTACTTGTGGTATCACGCTCGGCCTCTTAAACTATTAAATATGTGAGGTCCGCTCGGTTTCACTTTTTAAAATTAAACATTATTTTCTAAAACTATAATCATACCTCATCTATCAAAATTAAATCCAAATTCAAACGAATCTTCAAAGGATAAAACAGTCGATAGTTGTTAAACCACTTCAATGCCAATTATTTTAATTTTATGAAGAATAAAGATAGTTAAACGCGTCATTTATCCTAAGCAAACAAATGGTAAATTCAAATGTCGTCAATGGATTAGACCTCCCTAGATAAGATTCCGACAACAGAATCATTGATTCTCTGGTGCTTCCACTTCGACAATCTCGCAAAAGAAAGCATTGTCCATTTGTTACGATCATGGGGTTTTAGATATTTTTTCTCTTTTATATTCAAATGACGTTGAACCAACTCTATCAAGATAATAGGTGTTGTTTTCGTCTGTCTAAGAAAACAATGGGTTCTTCTAAAATCAGCGATGAGTGCCCTTCGTCATACCAAAGCTTCTAGTTGGGAAGGGAGTGCATGCCCATTTAAAACCTATGATAGCATCTCACTTATCATTGCCATCATTTGCTCCTTCAGCTCATTAAGCTGCTGAGTTATGAACTTTCTTGTACAATCCATTTTGTTATTACCTCTTTGTTGCTTGCTTTTGCATAACTGCTCTTGTTTGTGGCATGATTCATACTCACCACACCTTTTAAGATGTTGGATCATGATTTTTCCATGGACACACACCTCAAGAAAGGATTTAGAAAGGAGGGAGAGTAAGCAAGAAGAGAGGGGGAAATGCTATTCAGTTTGCATAAGAGAAATTAACTATTGTTCAATATCAAGGATCAATCACTTGTAACAAAAATTCTCTGTTATGTATAAAGGATTCTTATATATAATACAAAATAGATACCCATTACACACATACATACATATCCCAATATCCATAAATTCCCTATGATTTATCCCTTTGTATTATTCTAATTTTGACATAATAATTAATATTATCCCTGGCACCTATCCTAACGTTTGTTTCCCATGCACCTGCCAGAGTCCATCCTTGTTGGTCTACTGCCTTCATGGTAATCCGAATTTGGCATTGGAGCGAGTTGCCTCCTGTATTAAGCTGATTCATTAGTCACTGAGGCAGATTTAGTCCTCTTGGATTAGCAGATCACGGTAGGTGAATTGATGATTTGTACTCAGCTGCTTATGCTCGACAGCTAATATTCGGCTACTCAGTGCGCCTTAACATGCCATCCGACTCTTGAGCTTTAATTCGATCAGGCAGTATTTGGCTATACAAAAATTTTTCAAGCATAACGCCTAAAAGGACATGCATTAGGCATCTGAAGCTGTTTAAAATTATAATAAACTATTCTACTCTAAATAAAAAGTGTTCTTTCATCTATTTCTGAATACCATATAATATGTGCAACAAAATCATAATTCCTAACTTGTAAAAATTGCAATGATGTCAACATTCAATGGTTAAAATAACTGATCTATTAGTCACATTAACAATGCAGTCTGATTGGATCCTCATTAAATTTCAGTAGCAGTTAAGGTAATGCCTAACATATCTCAACATTCAAATTAGTTTCATGTGTAGTTAGTTTCAATGTAGTACATAAGTATTAAGCATTTTTAACCATTTGGGCATTAGAAAAAAAAAGGATATCCAAGGAACAAAGTATCCCACATGAGCAATCACTTTCCAATTTTGCAATTACGTGCATAATATCCAGATCTTACCTATTTATAAAATTAGATCCCAGTACCTTCATTTATCATAATACCACCCAAATATTGAAGAGCGCTACGAAATCCCAACCATTATTTGAACAAGATCCTAATCTATATAAGTTTAGGTGTACACCGGTACTTACTTATCCAACTCAATATTTTCTGAGGGAGACATACTCAAGTTATTAGCACTTTCCAGGGCCAACAGGCAAGCAATTCCAACCTGCTTATTAAGAATTAGCAGATTGAACAATATAAGCAGTTCCAATAAGTACACAACTAAATTAAATACCAGTTACAAAGAAAATACTAATAAAAAATTTATGAACACAAATTGAGAAGTATGAATTTGTGGTCACTACATCAATGCACAGATGATATCACATTATTATTCTCATTCAGAAGCTACAGCTAAACATTTGTTTCAATTTCAAAAGGAACCAAACAAGCTGATTCAAATTTGATTTGATATAGTATAAAGTCCCCAAACTTATGATAAAAGCTTAAGAAATGATGCTCTGAAAAAAATGCAAAATATGTGTATTCTGCTTAAAAAGAGAAGGTTGGCAGGTCTGAAAGCATGCGGCATATCTTTCAAAGGATCACGAAAAAGAAATCTTATCCAAACAATTTACACGTTATCAGTTATCCTCACCAAGTTTTGATATGTAATACAATTCACCTATAAAACATGCATCGCGTTGTTCAAAGTGTGCTTGCAAGTTAACGCAAGCATATTCTTTGCTTAAAAAGACAAAATGAAAATTGCAGTAACTCCTTAAGAAATTAGTATCCAACTTTTTTTCTGAAGAAAAACTAGTTCCAGTTTACAATGAGATACACGAAAGACACTAATGGCTGAAATTCATTCAAAAATAATGCACCACACCACCAATTGTTTGAGCAAATGTGACTATCAAGAATTAAAGACTTATAGACCATTTCATTAATGACTTAGGCTTGTATAAAACCTTATAACATTTTTAGAAATAAGCCCTTGGACTTATTATATTTACAATTTGGAACTAAAATTGGATACAAATCTCAACACCCCTCCCCCCCCCCCCCCCCACCCGGCAAAAAAATATCAACTAAGTACATCTTGCCAAACAACCTAGACAAATCTAATGAGCTAATTCCTTTGGTTAGTAAGTCAACCACTTGTTCTCTACATGACTTAGCTCCAGTAGTCTGTTATTCAGCTTTTCCTTGATGAATAACCTTTCAATCTCCACATGTTTGGTTCTATCATGTTGCACCGGACTGTTGGCAATGTTGATTTCTCACTTGTTGTCGCACCGCAACTTCATTTGTGCTCCTTGGTCCACTTTGAGCTCTACCAACAAGGCTCTCAACCACATCATCTCAGCGACACCTAAGGTCATGGCCCTGTACTATGTCTTTGTTGTTGATTTTGCTACTACATATTGTTTCATGCTCTTCTAAGAGACAAAGTTTTCCCCCACGAAACTATAGTATCTTGAAGTGGACCTCTTGTCATCGGCACAACTCACCCAGTCAGAGTCGTAATAGCCTTCAATGCCTACATGCCCATTCTTCCTGAAGATCAATCCCTTCCTTGGTGCACTCTCCAGGTATATTAGAACCTGATACACTGCGTCCATATGACCCTTCATTGGATCATGCATGTTACGACTCACCATGCTCACTGCAAATGAGATGTTGGGACGAGCGTGACTAAGATAGATTAGGCAGCCCACCAATCTCTGGTACTGCTCACGATCAACTGGCTCTCCTGCCTCTGAACTTAACTTGGCTTCCTAATCAATTGGAAAGACTACAGACTTGGATCCAAACATGTCTATTTCCATGAGGAGATCCAGTACATATTCTTTGAGACAAGATCATCCCCTCTGATCCAACCGTCATCTCAATCCCAATGAAATATTTGAGTTGTCCAAGGTATTTCACCTCAAATTATTTGCCCAATCTTACATTTAGCTGAGCAATCTCTGCTTCATTATCACTAGTGATAATCATGTCATCAAAATACACAACAAGCATAGTAGCGTGACGTTCATGTTGTTGAAAGAATATCATACAATCAACATTGATCTGCTGATATCTCATGCCCACCACAGCCTTTCCAAACTTGTCAAACCAGGCTAGAGGAGACTACTTCAAGCCATAAAGTGACTTCATGATCCCACACACCTTGTCCGCTGTCTAGCCTGTACTGAATACTGATGGTATCTCAATATACACCTATAGTAACTCACTATGAAGAAACGAGTTAGTGTAACCTCCACCTACCATTCACTTCCAGAGAAACCAGTGTCCTCACTATGCCCATTTTCGTTGTTGGTGCAAAAGTTATATCTTAGTCAATACCATACGTATGGTTGTACCCTTTCGCCGTCAATGCTCCACATTCCCTTCTAATTTTGTTTCACTATGAAGATTCGCTTACTCCCAACATCTCTTTACCCCATTGTAATGGCACTATCTCTCATGTTTGATTTTTATAGAGAGCTTCAAGCTCTTCATGCATGACTGCTTTCCACTTGGGACCTTCCTTAGTTATCTGCAGCACTTGGATATAAAAACGGTGTCCAAAGATGCAATGAATGTTTCATGTATAGGTGATATGTTAAACCATGAAACAAACTAAACAAAGTTTTGTTCCCACCCAAAACATCAGTAGGATGTCCCGCATTGCTGCGAGAGGTCCTTACAGTTATGAAAGAAGAGAAATCATATCACCTATGAATTATGAGTCTAAGGTAGATGGTTTAAGTGTCTCAAAATCGGGGTAGACTGAGACAAGGGACACGCTGACACAAGTGGCACTGCAAATAAAATTCCCTCATTTTGCTTCCTCCTCCTTATATATACTCTCAGGTCGCCTTAAGCCTGAATTTCACCACCTCTGGGTTCAGTCTCCTCATTTTCAGGCTCCTCAATTGATTTATCCCCCATCACAAGACAAAGCATCGCTCCCACATGCATCAATCTCTCACATTTACTACTCACCCCTTCTTGTGTCATGCCTCCAATATTTGGTGAGTCACCAAAGGGTGAGGTCAACTCTAGGTTGTAGTATGGTTCGAGTTCGCTAAAGGACACATCAATGCTCATAGGCAATCTCTTCTCAGACTTCCCCACTGATGGTCTGTTGTTCTTCATAAAACATATATAGCCAAATAACTTCAATGAGAAGATCCGCAATTATCTTCTTTCGACATCTGATAATAAAACTTTCAATCCAACACTCTCAAGAGAATTTTTTTGATAAATTAAGGAGCTGTCAAAACTGCTAACCCCCACAAATGCTTTGAGACATTTATCGCGATATCATGCTTCGGGTTACCTTCACGAGGTGTATATTTTTCCACTCTACTACTCTATTTTGTACTCATGTGTATTGACATGTGGTTTGATGTTATATCTCATAGGCCAACAAGTATTTCTCAATCGCTTTGTTAATATATTATGCCCCATTATCGGATCTCGATACATTTACTATTACACTATATTTGGTTTGGATTGCCTTGTGAAAATTTTTAAAACAAGCAAACACATCACCCTTATTTTTCATCAGGTACAACCAAGTAACAAAAAAAACATAATCAATAGAAGTCACAAAATATCGATAATCATTCAGTGAACTCGTAGAACCGAGGTCCCCAAATATCACAATGTATCAAATCAAAACCATAAAAACTCCTACTCCCATAACAGATAGAAGAGCTCCTAGTAAGCTTGTCAAAACTCATAAGCATCACATATAAGTTTTTGTTTATTTGTCTTTTTATACAAAGATAAAAACAAACGACTCGGTAAACTAAAACAAAAGTATCTCATGCGTCTGTGATGTAGCGGTAACACATCATCCGCAATTCTCCCACATCTCACTACTCCAGCACTCTCTACCATGGATGTTAAATTTAGGTTCATCCCTTCTCTATCTAAGTACCAAAGTCTCTTATGTCACGTTTCAATCCCAAGTGTCCGGACCGTCCCTTTCTTTTGAAGGATCAATTTAAGAATATCAAATGAAACAATATATTAGTTGGAGAATAATGACACTAATGGATAAAAAGTTAACTGAAAATGAATGAGCATGTAAAATATTGGACAAAGTTATAGAATTAGTACACCTCATTTGAACATTTACCAAATATAATATGTGTTATACCATCAGCAATCTAATGCTTTTTGAACTGCTCGGTGAGTATATAAAGAGAACTCTCTAGCAGTACCTGTCACATATTGAAATGCACCCGAATCTATTATCCATTCAAGTGATCTTGTGGTGGAAATAGCGGCAAAAACATGTGTATCACGAGTACCTTCGATGCATAGTAGCAATGTTACCCCTTGATGACGACGAGTTGGATGCATTCTCAGCCCAATCACCTATTGCTTTCTCTCTTCTTCAATATCTCCTGAAAATCATGATCCTCATCGGTAAAGAACGCACATGTAGCTCCCTCTTCCACCTCTTTGACCACCACGATCACCAAACAGTCCACATCCACTCGTCTCTCTCATTGAGTGGCCTAGGACAAACCTTGCTAAGATGACCTACTTCATCACAGTTTTAGCATTTGTGAGTCTCTCCCTAAGCACCTGTCATACCTGAGTTCAAGGTAGCCAAAACTAATCGTGTGTCTAGAAGTCAACTAAGCTCAAAGTGTAACCTCATGCGACTTTCCTTCTGTATCATAGTAGCGATGACCTCATCCAGTGAAGGGATCGTCGCCTAGGCTAGGCTGACTGATCTCCTCTAATCAGAGGCAGAGTTCAGATGATCCAGAAACTACATAATCCTTATTTGTGCAGAGCTCCCCCTTCTAGCACCTCAAATCACCACAACTTGACATCCGTAAGAAGTGATCAAGATTTGTCAACAGCCGCTCCAGATCGATGGAGTACTCCTGAATCGATCTTTACCCTGCACCACTGCCTCTATCTCAAGCAGAATCTGGAACACTCTCATATAGTTCTCAGCCCCAGCATAGATCATCTTCAGCCCCAATAAAGAGCATCTATAGCGTCACCCAAATATTACTCACCTTTCGAATGTCATCTACTGAAGAGGCAATTAATGGAACCAACGAGTTGAGTAGCTAGATGTAAAGCAGGGCGTGTGTGGCCCTCTACTAATCCCCCACAATACTATCATTCTTTGGCTCAACCCCCATCAGATATCCCTCTAGTCTCTTCCCTGCTAGAGCATCATCGATTCGACGCAACAAA